TTGAGAGAACAAAAGGCCATGAGGGAAATTCGGGGGCTGGTAGAAATATTCCAGACCTTGTTTGTGGAGGTGGTAACATGACTGTATACAGCTATCAAAACTCATAGAACTGTACTCTCAACCTTGGTGAATTTTTATTTTATATAAATTTTATCTCAGTAGTCCAGACTTGCCCCCAAAAAAGTGGAAGACATCAGGCACATACAGAATATTAGTAACGCATTGGTAGTAAAACTTAAGAATAACTGAGTCAGGTAACAGGAGGTAGAAGGGAAGTCAGCAACCTGAACCCTAGCCTTAGAATCCTAGGACACGCGTCAGCTGGCCAACCGGCCTGTGTGTGACCGCGAATGACAGTTTCCTTCTCTCCATCTCAGTTAACTTACTGCTAAAGAAACGGCATCAGATATTTACATTCTCGAACTTCTCAAGCTAGGAAGACCTACCAAAAAGGACCAGATTTATCATTCCCTGAAGTCTCCCTCTTGCTGGTTGTTAGAGGAAAGCCCAGGTGGAAGGTGGAACTCCTTCGTGGAGAAGCAGTTACAGTAATTAGCTTTATTCCTCGCCACGCCTCGGGAGGGGAAATTACGTGCTTTGGCCAGCGGGTGTCATTGTGCTCACCTATGAAAAACAGTTCTTCAGACCAAAATGCTCTTCACCTGACGCCTGCCTAATATTTTCACCTGAAGTGATTATGAACTCTGTTTCTCTATGTAACTGCTCAGAGGAAGGAAGATGTTCTAAGCAGTCAGTCTCTTCCTCAGTTTGTTCCCAGAGTTAATCAAGTATGGTAATTAAACCTATGGAGAAGAAATCTTTTACTCCATTGTAGTTGAAGCTCAAAGATTTTTAGAAAATGGAGTAATAGCTTCACGAACATTACTTATCCAGTCTTGGCAAACTCAGTCCTTAATGGCATTCTCTTTATTCTCAATGTCGCCTCCTGTGCTAAGCCTTCCTGTGGCATCTCATAAACCATACATTTTTATATATCCTAAGAAAGCAGCTTCCGCACTGTCCTGTAACTGTTATGCACAAGTCTCTCTCCCCTCTTTTGACCGCTCCCCAAGCTATACATTCCTGGGGGGTACTGGCACTGCATCCCCAAGTCTGTAGTGTAGTGCCGTGTGCTCAATAATGTTTGTGGGTGGTGAGCAAGTAAGAAAATGAATAATTGAAACAATTGTACTTTCTCAGAATAGCTGGTGTTTCAATGACCAGGTGAAAAGTGAAAGGACCAATAGTGCTCAATCAAAAGAAAAGCTCAGGGACACGGCTGTTTTCCCTGGAGGGACATTTGGGATAAATTGGCTTATCAGAACAAGAGCAGTAGCATATAAAAACCAAAAAATTGGAAGAAGGTACATGGTTTATGTGATGGATTAGCAGGAAGCCTGAACCGTTCTGTGCCAGAGACCCTTTTGCACTCTTGGGGAGCCTCTGGGCCCCTTCTTAGAATAATGTTTTTAAAAAACAAAATACAATACATTAAGATTATAAAGAAAACTAGTTACATTTAAATACTGTTTTCAAACTATGTTTAAACAATTTGTTAATATGATCTAGCAGCAGGTTTGATAACTACCATAATTTTTTCAAATGATGAGTGTAAATGATATTTTGAGAAGTCTGTGACAACTATAATATAATATGAAAATATATTTTTGACAGTCACGGGTACTGCTCATCTTTTGCAGTTTTTGCCTACATGCCTAATGGATGGAAATACCAGATTTCAGACTAGGAACGTCAAGTTTAATTTTTTTCCTTTCTAAGTACCTAAACCCCTTAAGTTTATTCATGAACTACTTTGGCAGGAGGCTGTGGGCCCAAGGTTAAGAATCTCTGGGAAAATTGAAGTTAGGATATCGGGGAAAAGGAATTGTGAAGAATGAGGGAGCAAAAGGATCCTGCTTCTACAGGTGGCCACTCCGTCTTTTTCTTCAGAAAACTGGGTGTTCACTCCTCACCTCTCGTCCTTCCCAGTAGGCTCCTACCTATCACCCCCCTTCCCTCTGAGATCCCTCAGTCCCATGTATCCATGTCCCTGGATCTATTTTGTTCATCAGTTTATTTTGTTCATTAGATTCCACATATGAGTGAGATCACGTGAGACTTGTCTTTGGACTGTTTCGCCCAGCATAATACTCTCCATGCTGTCACAAAAGGTAAGAGATTCTTCTTTTTCGCAGCTGCATAGTATTCCATGGTGTAAATGTCCCCCCAGCTTTTTATCTACTCATTACTGATGGGCCTTGAAGCAAAGGTTGACGAATTTCAATTTTTTCCCCACACAAAACATGTTCTCTAGATACAACTTAATTCTAATTGAACAATGAAATACTAGCAAAAAAAATCTCATCCTTGGAAATGAGAAATTGAGATATATATATATATATTACAAATATTTATAACTAGAAATAATCAAAATGTTACAAATTAAAACATAAGGGCCCAGCAGTAGTATTCAGAGGACAGTATGCCTCAGTGCTTGTGTTAGGGAAGGATAAGTGAGCTGCACGCATGACCTGAAGAGCTAGAAAAGGAAAGGAAAAAATTTAAGAAAGATTATAATAAAGTTAAAAGCAAAATTAATGGTTTAGATAGTGAAATATAATAACTGGGATCTACAAAGTCAAAAGTTGGTTCTTCGAAAAGACTATTAAAATAGATAAACCTAGAGCACAATTGATAAAGAAAATTAGAGATGAAACAAATACTGTTAGCAACAAAAAAGGGAAATAATGTCACCAAATTCATAAAAGATAATAAATCACATTTTTGTTAATTTTACGGCAGTAAATTTGAAAATTGAGAGAAGATACACAAACCTTTAGTAATAGCTCAATAACCATTCAAAATACTGACAAAGCAGCTGAACGCCTTCCCATAAAGAAAGTGCACGTCTCAGGAGGTTTTACTGGGGTGTGCTACCAAGTTTTCAAGGAAAAGATTGTTCTGATATTTTGCAAACTCTTTCAGAAAACAGGAAAAGTGGGAACATTCCCTACCGTGTTCTGTGAGTTGAGTATTAACCTTCATAACAACCAGAAAAGGACCGTATGAGAAAGGGAGGCTGCAGGCCAGTTTTCACTTACACAAATGTTAGCAAACTGAAAGTGTGTAGAATGGTCATGGTGCGTCGCGATCCAGCTGGATCATCTCAAGAATGCAAGGCAGATGCAACTTTAGAAAATTCTAGAATGTCATTCATCAGAAGAGGTGCCTATAAATTCTTTCTGGAAATTTGATGTTAATCACAAGAAATATGTGGGAAGGTGAAAACAAAACAAGTTGTTTGAATTTAAACCTAAACTTCCTAAGTTTGCCAGTCTCCGGCTAAAATTCTTTTTGTCACCTGGCAGAATGGAGTTAAAATTGAAAGAAAATTAGTCTTTCATATCTGAGTTTTGTCCTTAAAATACCATGTGACCAAGCTGGCCACCAGATACAGCTTTATTTTCTTTCATTATGGGTTTTTCCATCTAAATCCATGTAAACTTTGCAAGGAAACTTTTGAGCAGCTCTGTTTTACTCCTAAGTTTAGTTGTCAACAGCTAGGGTGTTCTTTTATCTTGCTATCGTATTAAAAGTCCTTCTATTAGGCTTCATTGTCTGGCAACAGACTTTACTGTAGAGCCTGTGTGTTCAGGTCTGAATATTGGGCAAGTAAACTCCTGGAAGTAACCTAAGCTGCTTCCATCTTCAGCAGTCGGCTTTGGTGTCATATTTGATGTGTCAAAAAAATGTGTTCTTTCCCACAAAAGTCTTCTCTGACCCCCCAGGAGCGAGCTGTGCAGCCCACAGTCCCGGGTGCTCACTTCTGTGGCAGCTTCTCGCACTTGGTTCATAATATTCCTCATTAGACTGCAAGTCATTGAGCTCAGGGTCAGCGTCCATTTCTCTGCTACATCCCCGGTGCCCAGCCCAGCGCCTGGCTCAGAGGAGAAGAGCAAAACCTCGAATAAATGAACAAACATACTGGTATTATTCAAACCTTTGCTTACCCACCCTTAGTACCAAGAGGGAGAGAATTGGTATAAAAACCATCGTCGAGTCCTTTTAGTCCAATCACTGACTCAAAGTAAGAGCCCTATATATAGAATCTCTACAGAGTCAGGCTTCTTCTAAAATAGTTCCAGAAGAAGGGATATAATTAGCCTTTTCCATTTATGGGTAGCTCACATTTTTAGAAAGTGCTTTTTAAAAAAAACTATTTCATCAAAATCTGCCTCCTTGATTCTATCTGCCCTTTGGAGTTTTGTAGATTTCCATTTCTATTGTATAAATCTCCAAATGTGCTCAAAAGAAACAAAATCAAAAATATTTAAGAGGTGGTGAGGACAGGTTATCTTGCATAGAAATCAGCTGGAACGTCTGCTGTTTTACCCCAAGAAAACGTGCAGGGCTTCCTCTTGAACTAGATATTCGCAGAAATGTCAGCGATGAAGAGGGGCCGGGAGATGGGGTTTGGCAACTGCATTCAGGGGGGGAAGCCGCCTTGAGTTTTAGCTTTACCTTTGATGCCGGAGAAAGGTGCATGGATATGTTATGTGTCCTGTGACAGGAGATCAGGGTTCATTTCTGGCCGTGATGTCTTGTGGTGTCTCATATTAGAAAACACTCGGCGAAGTTTCTCCTCTGGTGTTTCTCGCATTCCCTTCGTCCCGTCTCACTGACAGGTGCCCTCACTTCTGCTTCCCTTCCTCACTCCAGCTTGGGTCCCATTTTAGTCTAAAAGGCTCACCACAGCCACACTAAATTTCCCTTCCACTCCCCTGTCATTAGTCTGTCACCTAATTTAAAACCCACAATGTATCAGTGTCCTTACTGAATCAGGCGAGACTCTTCTGCCTCCATCTCAGGTTCCTCTCCTCCAGGCCTCTGACACCTCACGCTCAAACCGTCCAGCTTTATTTTAGCTACTGCACCCCACCCACCCCCACCCC